TATATATATATATATTTATATTTAGCTTTAATTTCATATCACACCCATTATGATTCAGTCACATTTTTCCATTTATGCAAATTTGGTGATGCTCACATTTTTTTCTGCATGCTCAGAGTGCCGCTCCCTTATCACCATGGAAGGTGCTTTCTAAGGCTGACACCTCTGCAGACACCGCTACTACTAAAAAGACCACCACACACATTACGATTTGATCGGGCAATCTCCTTTAGATCTACCAACAACTATGTACTGCTGCCTGATTGGATAGAAATTGATTGGATAGTTTGGGTAGGTCCTCATATTACATAGTTTTGGTAAATCTAAATGTGACTGTTCAAAGATTATATGTTTAAATTGTAGTGTATTTGGTGATTCTAACAATCCTGCTGAATAATTAAACGCCTGAATTATCATTCGTCCAGTTTTGTGTTCTCTACTATAGTTCCCATTTCAGTCAGTGGCACAGAAACTGGGTTCACAGTCATACCTAAAATCTGCTTCAAAGAGTGCTTGGATTGGTATAGTGTGAGTGAAAGAGAGCACAGTGCCCAGCATACAAGGGCAGCATGGAACCTGCAGTGGGTGTGTTTGGGAGTTCTTACCCAGCATCACTAATAGAGGTTCTCAAATCACCAGATGGCTATGTGCGCTACAGCAACGCCAAGATTAAAGTACTGATCAGTAAATGTATCTTAAGGTTTAACTGTTGGCTGGATTGTACATTTAACATAGTAATAAACGCTTAAACTTTTTTTCAATAATTAATCCAGATCAAACAAATATATAATGCCGGCAAAGTTTTCTTTTTACATTTTTTGCCAAAACTCTTAGGGGTCTATTCACTAACCTGCCGTAGGCAGCCGAGTGAACGACCGACCTGAAGTGAAGTGAGCCGAACACTGTTCGGCTATTCACTTCAGGTTTTTACGGCTGATTTCAGCCGTATATCAGCTGAAATAAGCCGTACATCGGGTGGCTTCGTGTGGCTTCGGGTCGGCCGAACATGGTCAGCATGTTTGGCCGACCCGAAGTGCAAAAGGAGTTCGACTTAGCCGATCCAACATCTGGATCGGCTAAGCCGAACCTCCGGCAGGCTACTCGCTGCTGTTCGGTCTATTCTTATAGATGCCGAACGGCGGCATTCGGCTCGGCTGTTCTGCCCGGTCCCTCTGTGGGACCGAGCAGAACAGAAAAATAGTTAAAAAAGGAGAGAAAAAAATAGAAAACGATTGTGCGGCGCTAGCAATTACAGATAGCTCCGCCCAACTGTTTTCTATAGGCCGGTGGTTCTGCTGACGTCAATTTGCAATAGCCAATAGCAAACTAGATATTGCACCTGCCCTCTGCTGCTGTCAATCACTAGTGGGGACCTGATGGAGAACTGCAGCAGTGCAATAGCTAGTTTGCTATTGGCTATTGCAAATTGAAATAGCAAATAGGAATCTAGTAATGCATTTCTATGGTGACATTCCTGGGCGGCCGGGAACGGGAGACTCCCCGAGCGCCCGGGAGAGTTAGGCTGTATGGAGATCAGTGTCCCTGGTTAGCTGGTAACTAGGGACACTGATCTCTCTGCAAGTGGCCGGAGCCAGCCGCAAGATCACGGCTGGCTCCGCCCAGCTGTCAGAAGCAGGCTGTCGGCCAGACAACGGCCGGCCGGCCGCTCGGCCAGCTTCGGCTTTCACTTCGGCTCAGTCGAGCCGAAGCATATGCCTTCGACTCGACTGAGCCGCCCGGCCGACTTCGGGAGCTGTACGGGCTATACTGAATAGCCCGTACAGCAGCCCTTCGGTTCTACTGAACCGAAGGGGTCCTGGGGCCGAAGCTAGCCGAAGGATCGGCCGAAGCTACGGCTAGATCCTTCGGCTGCTTCGTGAATAGACCCCACACAGTCATCATGTTTCCAAAGAGCTGGCTCCATCTCTCTTAGCTCGACTTCCCTGAACTTACTGTCCAGCACAAAATAATAAGGGGCATCGCAGTCTCCAGCAACTGCTCATCTGCTAGCTTGGAGAAGGTATAAGAAAGGAGTGGCGGACTGGCATTCCTTGCTGTGCTTGTTTGGGGACACACATAGCTTACTAGCACACACAAGAATGGCCTCATAGGACCCTGTAAGGGAAAGGAGCCATCCTAAAACAGGATATCAGGGCTAGTGGTCAGGGGATCAGCTGATTCTGTAGGAAGCAAAAACTTTTAAGCATCAAGGAGCAGCATCCATTGTAATCGATTTCATCACTTTCATCATTTGAAATAACTTAAAAACCTTTTGACTTTAATATCACTTTCTGAGAGAGACATTTCATCAGCTTTCAACTCATCTGATCATATCCAATTCAAGAGCTAAACGGAATGTCCAAAAGCAGAATAGACAGGTCCTATCACTAGATATCACTTCACACAGAAAGGCAGAAATTCCTTTCAAGCACTAAACTAACCTAGCTTTAAATCATTTATTTTCTATAAACAGAAATGCAGTTTTTTATGATTGTAATACTTTGAGGTCTGTTTAGCTTTCTCTGGTGTTATAAAGACATTGCAGTGTACACCAGTAGGGTGCTGTATGTTACACAAGATTAGAGGGCAAAGTACAGCCCAATGTTATA